AGAAGGGGGACTATGAGCGGAGCGGCCTGGACTCGGGGAGCAGTCTCAGGGGGCTATTGTCTGCGTGCGGGTGTCTGTCTGTTTTGGGGGCAAGTGTCAGGGAGAGATGAGGCCACAGACAGCTCCATAATTTGCTTAGAAAAAGAGAAAAAATGAACAAGAAAACGAAAAATGAACCATTTGGAAGGCAGCAACTTAAAAAAAAAAAAACGAAAACACGCTTTAGAAATAATAATAGAAAAAGAGACAATTAGAGGAGGGCAGAATTTGCAGCCAGCGCTGTTTGAGGGCATGCTTGCCCTTCTGCCGCCGCCTGGGGTTGACTACAGAGTTCGCCTTTCCAATCCCCATTCCCGGGGTTGCAGCAGCAGTGACTCGCTTAGACTGTCCTAGCGGCCAAAGTGACTTTTTCTGTCCGCTTGCCTGCTCCACCTCGCTCAGCACCATCCCGCTTTTCAGCGCGTCTGGGGACCCCTACGCCCTTTCAGCTAGCTCCCAGCCCTGAACCCCGCCAACATCGCCAGTCTCTTCGCTGGGCCAGCTCCAGGAGATGCCTTTTCGTTCACAAACTGCAGCCTCTTCCTCCATCCCACGGCTCTTCTGCTGCCCTCTCCTGCCACTCCCGCTGGCGCGTTTTCTTCTTCCACCAGCTTGTACTGAACTTTGGGGGCGCTGCTTGGGAGGGGAGTCAGGTGCAGGGTAGGTCCCTGGACGCGAGCGAGGGGCGCGCACCCACGCAGGTGTGGGCTGTGTGGGTCTGCGTGTGTTGGAAGGGTCTGAATCGGACTCCCCTCCGGTCCGGTGGATGGTCTGTATATTGATTCATTCTTTGCGCAGTTTAGACAGCTCCGTTTGGAATCTGTTTTGTTTGTTTTTATTTTTAAAAGGCACAAGCGATAGATCTTAGTTGAATGTTGAGGCTTTAACTTTTTCAGTGTCTTTCTACAAACTGTTCTGTGACTCAATTGTATCGTGTTAATATCAGTACAGACTGTCTCTGCGTGACCGTATGATGTTTTTCTCTTCTTGTAGTCTCTATGACGTGTCTTTATGGAGTAATAAGGTTCTCACGGGTTCAAAATTCCTTTGTGTTTAGAAACGCCATGGTCCAGGCAATGGTGTATGTTTTTTCTCATCAGGTGCATGTCTGTCTGATTATTTTCTTCTCATTGGACTATGTGAACATAACCATAAATTATGTTTCAGATTTTGGAATTTATTTATATGTGTTATGATGGATGCATCTATTTAAAAGGGAAATATTTCTACATGTGCATATAGTTTTCCAAGAGTGTACCATTAACTTGGTTGTTGATAATAAAAACAAAACACAAGTCTAGCCATTGAATGCTTCTGACACTTTTCCCAATTTGTTTGTGTTGGGTTGCTGCATCTTTGGAAATTCCTTTTGAACTGATGAGGGAAGGTGGAGGGAAATGACTAGATTGTCAGAAACATGTGCAGCTTTTGGAGTGTAGGTGGATCAAACATTTAAACTGAGCACCCAACTTAAATGTGAAAGCCAGGTAGATTCTTCTGATAGGTGCTTATTTGTCCCCCTGTCACAGGTCACAGAAGAATTTGGACATACACTGGGGTCATACAGGTCTTTGAGAGGGACTTGAAAATGTGGATGATGGCTATCTGGCACCTTCAGGACAGATACTGGAAAAGTCGGGGTGGCCCAACCTTCCTATGCCTCATGGACTGCTGGTATGTGGGACAGCCAAAGAAAGATCCCTAAGAAGGCAGACAAATGGGGACAACATTGGGCACTGGTCAGCTCTGGCTTTGTTTCCTTGCATGAATTTTATCTACCCTCCCCAGTGCACCCACCAAGCAGGTGTAATCCATCCCGTCTTTCCTTCTAAATAAATGAGGGTATGGAAGCCACAGAGAGGTTATCTCGCTCGAGGTTCCCTCGGCTTATGAGTAAAGGCCAGCCCAAGAAATCCAATTCATGCTCTGGCACATCAGCAGTGGCCAAAGCAGGGAGCTTGCACAAGTAGCAGCAGCAGCAGTAAAAGCAGTGTCACCCTGGAATTTGTTGGACACAGACTCTGGAGGCCTGCTCAGAGCTACTGAATGAGGAACTCTGGAAAAGGGGAGAACCAGCAATGTGTGTTTCATTAAGCTTCATTGACAATAATGGGGCACATTGAACCATGCTGTGAGAAACCAGATAGGAATATTCCAGAACTGGATGGGTGAGGAGAGCTGGTGGCAGTAGGGAACTCTGGCAGCTGCACTAGTGTACTTCGCAAGGGAAAGGGCCACTACCACAGCCCCCCGACACAGCCCTGAGTCTTCCTGAGCCACTGGAGAAGATACCTCTTGCTTGCCAAAGCCCCACCTGAACTTCTGGTCCTTCCTTGTGTGAGAGGAGGCTGCACTCTGCCTCCTCTGGCTTGTCCCTTAGTAAAACAGTGTCCATCAACCAAGCTGTTCATCGTGCTGTTCTAAGATACCTGACATTGCAATCTTGGGTTTGCAAAACTGTCCATCATGGCAATGGGGACCTATGTCTGGAAGGGCTGGGAAAGACACACAGGAAGGCAGGAATTGCTGGACAAAAACAGCTTTCCAAGCCCAGGTAACTACACCAGGATTTGGCTGGAGTTGGAGTTGGCTTTCCTGAGGCACTGAATGCCCCCAGCCCCAGCTTTCTGAGAGTCCATCTGCAGAGCAATCCACATTCTGGTGAGGGCACACTCTACAGGGAGGAAGAAAACAAAAACTGCAAAGAGAAAGAAGAGAGAACAGAGAGAAGAAAGCAGGCGGCTAAGGAGTTTGGGAAAACTCCAGTGAAATCCACCAAAATCCTTCCAGCTATGAATGAAGGGTTGAGGGTCCCCACATTCCTTGCTCCTGGCCTTGGTCTACTTGAATGCTTTCCCTTTAGGACCAAACACAGAGATGACAGAGGGAACCATGTTCCTCATGATCCCTTCCTCGTCTACCCTAGTGTTCCAGAGAAGCACACTGGAGGGGTCTGGGACTGGCCAACTTGCCTTCTTTTTCCTTTGGATCATGTCTGCTTTTCTCAATTCCCAGAGGCAAACAAGGGTGGTATGTCTATGGCCAGATGCAAAAAACAAGATCCTTGGATGTGATGGCACCTGGTGGCAGGACACTGTGTCTGCCCGTTGTGTCATCTCCTTGGAGCCCCACACAGTGTGAACAAGCTCACTTTCACTTTTCCTCTCCTGAGGAATTTGCATTTTGGCTCATCAAGGCATCCTTTTTCCTGGCAACTCCCGGACTACATGTGACTTCACAAAAGCTGCATGAGCTGGTGCCAGATGGCCTCCCTGAAGCCAAGTCTCCTTCCAAACAACCCAGTACGGGGAGCCCGAGAGTGGTTCCAAAGGGAAGTGTCGGCCCAGCCGACAGAAGCTGCTCTTTGGCAACCCCCCACCACCAAATGCTTCTCCGTGGCTACCTCACTGTCCTAGGAACATGGCTGATGACTAACTAGAGTTGCTCTTCAATCAGGGAGGGGATATATGTGTCTTTGGTTGGCAAATACCATGAGCCTGACTTATCAACCCTCAATGTGAATAATAATACAAGTGTGGGGCTGTGGGTTGTCTAAAGGAAACAATGACCAACAAATAACTGGATGGCCCTACATTTTCAACAAACGTCGGATATAATGTTTTTACTTGTGTTGGAACTCTTTGGTCCTTTTCTTCTAAAAATATTTAGTTATTTAAAGACAGAGAAGGTAAGAGAGAGACTGAGAATCTTCCATCTGCGGAATCACTTCTTAAATGGCCACCATTTAAGGATGGACCAGGTCAAATCCAGAAGCCAAGAGCTTCTTCTGGATCTTCCACATGTATGACAGGAACCCAAGCACTTGAATCGCCTGCCTCAGCTTTCCCAGGTGCACTATCAGGGAGCTGGATCAGCAGTGGAGCAGCAGGGACTCTAATCAATGCCCATATGGCATGTCAGTATCGCAGGTGGCAGCTTCATATGTTATGCCACCACACTGGCTCCTAGATCCTTTCTCGATTTCTCTAGATCAGATCTCAGAACATTAAGCAGAGCTCTCAGTCATCATTTAAGTCAGTGTCCCAGGAAGCAGAAATAATGAGCATGCTGAGGTGGGTGCTGGGACATTTCACCAAGGGTGGCCAGTTGAAGCCTATAGTCAGTCCAGGCTTCAAGTACTAGGTCTTAAGGCCTCACTCTATGCTAGGCAGTGTTTCTAGCCTAAGAGTTTTGATGTGAATTGTTCTCACAGTTATTCTTTGGGAAATGCACTCTTCCCATTCATTCATTTCTGGAAGCTGAGGCATCCAGGGGTTCATGCATGTGCCCAGTAGCATCCTCCTAGGAGTACTACAGCAGGAATCCAGCTCTGCTGGACTCCTCACAGAGGGAAAGTTCAGGGTAGCACGTGTATGTCTTTAGCCTCTGTTGGGTAAGGGGATGAGCCCAGGAGCAGTCAGGGCCTGGAGCATGCACTCACTGGGAAAGGACAGGTGCGTTTGTGCAGTGCAGAACCTGAGCTGCTCCACTGGAGTGGCTGGCCGAATCAGACAGGAGCCCAGGATCTTGACAGACCCGCCATTGTTCAAAGGACAAAGACCAGCCAGGGACCTGCTGCCTCCTGTCGTGACTCCAGAGCGGCTGCTCACAAGTCCATGTGTGGACACAGTGGCCAAGTGCCTGCCCCCAGCTGTGTATCTGTGTCCCCATACAAAGTAGAGTACAAAGACCTATGGCCTTGTCTGGGTGGTAGGCAGGATTGGCCAGACATAGGTCCCCATTGCCATGGTGGACAGTTTTGACATGTTGGGCATGGTTTGGATCAGGAATTCTTAACTTTGGGTTCACAGGTAGAATAGGGGGACAGGAAAGAAAAATCAGCATGTTTAGTCATTTCAACCTGGAATTCAGCATCTTTTACATGATGCAAGTGACATAGCCATGGTAGTAATTATTCTACTTATGACTTTGCCATCAATAGAAATCACAGATACTTTCAT